TTAACAATTTTCTCATCAATTGGACTCTCATATTCAAAAGTATTCAAGTAGCTCAATGAAGTTTCAGAAGATGCTGAGGTTATATTAATATTTAAATCTCCAGCAATTATATAACCAAATTTAGATTCATGTAATATTGGCATTTTGGGCCCAAGCTTGACTTGATTAGTACCTATTATATATATATTAGAGCCAAGCAAAATATCTATTTCTCCTGATTCCTTATATTTCGGATCAGCCAGCTGCAAATTGGAGGGAATTTCAAAAATATTTTTGTTAAAGGAAAAAATTGGCAATTTTTCAGTAATACAAGGAATTACTAAACAATGTATATTGGCTACAAAATTATTAATACACGATCCAATTGTCATATTTACCTTATAATGTATATTAGTCAAAGCTTTTCCAACACCCTTCACAGCATAATTTATTTTTAACTGATTTAAATTTAATTTTTGTGCAACCATCAGCAAAATGAGCTTTCGCGGCCGCCACACAGTTCGCGAAATTCAATTTCGCGGCCGTTGCCCTTGGTGACGGCCACGAAACTATAAATCAAAATTTGACACTTTGACAACAACAATAAGTAAATTTTATTTCCAAATTCTTCAGAACAACATAAATTATTTAGGATAAATATTAACACTTACATGACAGTTTGCATTATTACTAATATTTACTCCTGAAGCTGAAGCAACTAATAATCCAGTGTTTTTGAATTGAACTCTCAAAACTTCCCATTTCGGCATTAAATTAGCCAATATGCTTTCACACACCATTTTGACGTTTTGTTTGTCACACCAATTTTTTGAACTCGCAGTAACAATTTTCATATTGCCGCTTAGTTTTCCAGGTATTAACTCAGAAATAGATGATTGAACCATATTTTTTAGCTCTGGAGGAGTGCAAGAGAGTGAAACATCTGTATCGCTGTCGGATATTTTCACGATTTTTTGAGAACCGTCAAAATCTTTTGTGTATTTGTTTACTTGCAAAATATGTCATCCATGACATCCATGGAAACGCTGTGCCACCATAGCCACCAGGTTATACATCAAACTGGTAATTAGTTCCACATGTTTGTTGAAAGGAGTACATTTTTTCTATAATTCCACATAATTTTCATGGTTGCACAAAAAATAGTGTGTATACCATGACCGCGAAACTTTTTAGCGTCCTCGAGATTATCTTGCCTCGGCCGCAAGCGGCCTCGGCGATAACTTTTCTCTACGTACGCTAAAAGGCACTTCGCGGCCTTGGTATACAAATAACTATTATTACAAACCTTTTGAGATACAAAGTTACTTTGTGAACCACTGTCCAGTAACGCTCGTGCTGTAATAGTCTTGGTTCCGTGACTAATGCAGTAGAAAGTAATACTTGAGATTGAGAACAACTACTTGACAATGCTGATAATCCTAAACAAGGCGCAGTATAGTTAGCAGTGGAAGCGTCGATCTGCCCGTACTTGGAGGCCTTGGAGTTCATTAGGCAATTGGAGGCAGCAGCTTCCCGAGCACCACCACTTTCATGTTACACAAGTGAATTCAAATCACTGGCAGTGGTCTTAGCTCCATTCGATTTTTGGGTTAGACTGTTCGCACCAATATTTATTTCTGAGTTAAACGAATCTAAATGTAAAAGTAAATTATGTGCTTTATGACACTTCGAACATTTTGATCTACGACACTTCCAAGAAAAATGCGAATCATTAAAACAATTTAAACATAATTTGAGTCTTTTTACTGCATTAATTCGTTCAGCAACGGCTAGATTCAGAAAAGAATTACATTTGAAAATTGTATGATTGCTTTGATTACAATAATAACATTTAAAGGCATTATCGCGAGTATTATTTTTAAATTTCTCATCTATTGCAGCATGATTACTACTGCCTTCCCTATTAAATTTTCTACTTATTGCTGGTTTGTTATTATTCTTACCCGATTCTAGAGCATATTTTGACGCCTCCAACTTTTCAAGAACCTCACATTTATTTTTTAGAAATTTATTCAAGTCCTGCATTGATGGCAAATCACCCAAACATTTAAAAGCTTCCCAATCACGACGCGTAGTATTATCTAACTTATTGGCTAAAATATAAATTATCAACCTATCCCAAGAATCGGTATCCTCACCAAGGGATTTTAATGCCCTTAAATCTTTGATTATCGCATCATACAATTTTCTCAATTCTATGTAAGATTCTTTTTCTATGTTTGGTTGTTCAAAAATTTTTAATAATGTCCAGAACCTCCTCACCTAAAGTAGATCTGAGATAATAAAACTTTTGTATATTATTTAAAGTTGTATTAGCATTTACTAATGCATTAAAAGAATCTTTATATTCCAACCAATTACAATACTGGCCATCAAAATTTGGCAAATTAATGGGTGGTAATTTCACTAGTGATTGAATGGATAGTACATTTTGATTTGGCGTTAACGCTAAATTATGCATTGAACCCACTAGAGAACTCAAAGCGCCTTGAGGAGCACCCTGATTAACTGAAGTGTTATCATCAGAATTATTATACTCCTTTATCAAGGCACTCATTTCAGAAATTAATTTAAAATATTTACCTTCAAATTCACTCCTCTCAGCTTCAGAAACCTGAGATTCGGCATCATCTAATTCATCACCTATACCTGCTGTCATTCGTTGTTCAATAATAGTTTGATCAATTTGAACATGCAATGCATCAAACTCGTCATAAATGGGTTGCAATCGATCTAAACGCGTCTGAACTTCATTAACAATATTATCATTCAAATTATCTTTATCAATCCCTTTGAAATAATTTTCCAAACGCGTAACCTTACCCTTAATATTTTTCTTTTGGGATTTTAATTTTGCAATCACGACTTCAGCCATTCTGATTGACACAGATTGAATTTGTTGCTAAATTTACAATTTTACGTAATTGAACCGACTTACCCAGAAAAACGCAAGCAATTAAATTGTGGAAACGTGACAGTAATAATTTCTATACTTTCTTATTCACTGCCTTTCCGATGCTTTCGTTTTTGAACCAATCGCCACGACCAACTCCTCCAATGACTAAAATGGAATATCAAAATTATTTTACTTTATCAATTATTTCCTCGATTTCTTCTTTATTCTGAAATACTTGTACCAATCCACATCCAGCGACGAAGGACCGATGTTTTGACTGTGAAATGATACACGATCGGAACTGTTTTCCAGTATTCTTTTAATTGACCTTTTCAATTTAAAAGCCTCTCTCTCTGGCATCAAACTGTCAGACGCCAAAAGAGTATGAAAACAATGGTTGACAGCCGTTGACAGTGGTTTGTAGACAATACTTTTGAAAGAAACTATTATTTCCTCGGGGTTTTCAAGGTTTTTTCTTCAATGGTGATTGTGTGTTGTGTGCCTATCCATAAAACTAATTCCTATTCACCGGCGGACGTGTTTTTCCATGTTTCCATCAAATCCTACATTTGTCAAAACTTGGATACACAAAATCAGAATGCAGAAAGGATACTCGCAAAAGAAAGGGAAATCAACGGCCCATCAATACAAAGTAATCCACGTTCAAGTTTAGTTTGCAGAAGCTGTTTGCTTCCAAAATAATCCACCACCGGCTCCATAGCGAAGTTCTGCGAATAAAGCAGTGACTTTTCCTACATTTTCTTCCCAATTTCAAACCCTGCGTTTTTATTATCAAATTTTACCGATGGATCCATCATTGTATGTCGGTCATTGTCATTTTCCATTCACTTAACAAAGATAGCTAACTCATTGGAGAAGTCACCGATTCAAATAAAAATGAGGGGATTGCTAAACACCCAATACACATTGACATTGACAAAGAAGCAAATTTTGGCGGGAAAATGAATGTTTTCATACTTATCGTCCATCTCTTTTAATTGAAAACGTCAATTATCAGGAGGAGATTACAATTTTTCTGGAAGCTTCAATGACTATTTTTGACAATTCTCTCACAGTTAATTCAACTGGTTTCGATTGTTAGCGTACTGGTTTCTACCTGGTTTCGATTGTCAACACAAGTATCAAAAAAAAAAAAATAATACAGATAGTTACACTCAATAAACAAAAAGTTACTGGGGGTTTAATAAAAGCAAACGGCAAAAATCAGCCCTAAGTCATAAATAAAGTGGCTCATTAAGTTTTTAGTATGCTAGAAAGTGTCATCATAGTACTCAGCCAAATCATAGTAAGCCTTCTCTTTCAATAAATTCTTGACTGACCTATGAAACCCTCTATAGTTTTCAGAAGACCTACAATAATTTGGAAGTTTATTGTAAATCTTAATACTCTCGAAAATTACTGAGTGTCTGATCAAAGCAAATCTAGGAATTGAGAGTGGAACATTGTTGCGATTTCGAGTACTGTAAGAATGAGCATGAGTGTGATCCCCATATTTTTTAAATATCAAACAAACCGTATCCAATATAAATAAACAAACGACCGTCAAAATCTGCTCTCTCAAAAAGAGCGGTCTACAGTGGTCTCTCATACCTTTGCCGCACATATATCTTATAGCTCTTTTCTGTATTGTAAAAACCGAATTAAGTAGACCTCTACTGCAGTAGCCCCAAAACGAAATGCTGTATCTCAAGTGTGACTCGATAAGTGCATAGTAGGTAGATTTAGCAATACTGCAACCCAACTCTGAAAAAGTTCTTCGCACAGCATAACAGCCAGACGCCAGTCTTTTATTCAATGCAACAACATGTACATCAAACTTTAATCGGTCGTCCACGTAGAGCCCAAGAAACTTTGTACCTACTTTGTACATTCCTCATTATCCCGTTCTCCAATTCAATATCATCAATATCAAATTTAAAGCTCAAAATTTTTGTTTTATCAATATTAAGGCAAAAGTCATTGGCATCACACCAGTTCTTAATTCTAAGTATGTCCCTTATTATCTAAGTATGTCCCTTATTACTTGTACACCTAAGTCTTTTCAATACTAGCATTATATAACCATTTGACTTTTTCCTTTCAGCTCTTCTCCATAATAGTATTCGGCTGCATCTCTTCTCAAGGATGGCAACCGGACAAAAAGGGCAACCTCGTTTGTTTGTACAACGGTGACACCAACGCCTGTAACTATGGAGTCGGTATCAGCGTTATCGCTTTTTTGGCCAGTATGGGACTTCTGGCTGGCGAGTATCTTTTCGAGCAAATGTCTTCGGTTAAAACAAGAAAACACTTTGTTTTGGGCGATTTAGCGTTTTCAGGTAAAAAAAAACACTTTATTGAAGAAACATAGTATTTTCTGCACTAGTTAGGAAATATACTATTCTGAATTTTTATAATTTGTATTGTAAGTGTAAGTATAATGCTTAAATAGATTTATGTACTATAGTTCAGTTGCTTTGTTCTAAGGAAACAAAACAATACAATGGAACTAGGTATTTTTATCAACCCTGGAATTTTTTCTCATATCAAGAAATAGAAAAATATCTCATACAAAAAATTCCGAAAGATAAAATTTTCCATTCCCGCTTTTTACTAATAACTGGTATATATTTGCAAAATATTCATTTTCCGCACGACTGGCTTCAGGAGAGCTTCAATCAGGGACAAAATTAAAAGAGATAGTTGAGAATGCTGAATATTGAGGTCAAACGGGGGAGGTTTTATAATGTTAGTTTATTTTTAGACTTTGTTTTCTTTTTTCTAGCTTTCTGGGCCTTTTTATATTTCGTCGGCTTTTGGTACTTGTGCAACCAATGGGCAAAATCGGACCCACCAGCAAATGGTATTGGATCGAGCAACGTCAGGGCGGCAATAGCGTTTTCTTTCTTTTCGATTTTTTCTTGGGTAAGTAACTTGTTAATATAATAAATAATCTCGTACAAATAATTCAATATATCTAATATTATATAAAAAAAAAAAAACATAAAATCTAATATAAAACAAAATATTAGGGTGGTAGTGCCTTTTTGGCATTCCAACGATTCAAGCAAGGCGCCGACGCGGCATTTTCTTCAAACTTTGAGGCCGACAACATGCAATCGGCGTATCCTTCTTATCCCGGAGGTCCCGACACGGATCAGCCCTACCAGGAGCCTCCGTTTTCCACGGGACCCAATACAAGGGGCCCAGCAGATTTCCAGGCGCCCACCTATTAAAAAATGTCAGCTGACAGCTGCCCGATACCAAAAAATATTGAGAGCGATTTTATATTATCGGCTCCAAGTTTTTTTTTTCTATTTATTTGTACTTAGAGTGGGGTGTCCCAATATTAATTGTTACGTTTGTTATTTTTCCGAGTATTTTTTACCAAGTTTTTTAAAAAATTTAAACGAGCCCAAAGTGTTGAAAAATAAAATGATAATTATTATAGATATTGTTCAATGTACAGTAAATGTCTAAAAATGCAAGAAAACATAATAATTATGTATTTAGATTTATGAATATCGGCTTATCGTAGATTGTATTGTAAAGGTGCTTTTTATAATACTTTTGTGCTCTGATGTAAAATCCCCCATTATTGTATATAATATGAAAATTTCCCGTTTTGATTTTCCTTTATAATAGTTGAGCTTGATTAGTAAATATTGAACTGTCCCTACTAAAATATTCTACAAGAATCTCGTCTAAAATTAAAATCTCATTTGTATATTATTGCAATATTACCAACCTCGAAATAACAAAATAATGTAAGTATAAATGGATTAGTTTGTGATTTTTTTTTATGTGATTGTATTGAAAATTGTTACAAATAATTACCGTGGCCATATTAGTATGTTGTTAATTTTCTCAAATAAATAAAAGTTAAAGATAAGGGACAAGATTTACATAACTGTGAGGCACATACATTACGTATTTTCTTTTTTTTTTTTAATTGTTAGCAGCCATTAACTTTTGGGGTGAGTGCAAACAATATTTTCATTTGGGGGTAAAGTAGTTTCCGAGTAAAAAAATAATTTATTGTAGCAATCTATGGTATGGAACATTTCAGAAAGTTTTTTACAGGGTAAGCAATTTTCAAAGTTACAATTTGATTTCCTGAAAAAAAACAAAATTTATTTAATTTCCAGCACATATCCGAACGAAAAATTGTATTTTTGTAGAACCAAAAAATTCATTTGGTTGGTACTTATAGAAAAACCAGAAATAGTTATAGTTAAGGATATTTTCTAAAACCATAAATGCGTTTATAATTATTATTAAAAAAAAAAACGTAGGTGGTGTTATGTAGTTGAAAAAAAAGAGTTGTTCCTGTCTGTGTAAAACTTAGCACTAGTTATGTAAAATACTCTGTTTCAGCAATAATAAGAGAAATGACCCCAAAAAAATGTTGAGGATTCTATTTTATTTTTATTTATTATTTTTTTTGATCTGTTCACTTTTGTCCTGAAGAAGTATTATCTTTTATTTTGTTGATTGTATTAGTTTTTGAGTTACCAATAAATGTTAATAATAATGTCGATTGGTTTTATTTCATTTTATTTGTCAATTTTATTTAGAATCCAGAGAAAAAGACAGGTACAAAGTATTACCACAGATCACCTAATATAGATGCGAAAGTACGTATACTTGCCGTCGACGATATTCTGTGACGAAGCCGGGCTGCCAGCAACTAACGTGGCCGAGTGCGTGAGCATGTTTCATTCAGCCTGTGTGTTTACATTTTTTTGCGGGTAAAAAAGAATATTTTTTTGCTGTTTGTGAACCAATTAAAGAAATAATATTATATTATTGAGCTTCCGCGTTTATATAATAAATATGTTCAAAATACATTGATGTGGCATTGGTGCGACCAGCCTATGTCTATCAAATTAATCTTGAACCACGAATTCGCCACTCTTTCGCATCTGCATGTAGGTAATCTGTGGTATTACAGTCCGAGCTGAAAGGAGAAAGGTGAAAGTGTGGTCTTAACAATCGCACTCGCCGAGTACGTGATTTGTGAAAAAAATTAGTATCTTATTCAAAACTAATTTTCAAAGTCATAAGCGCAACTAGGGGAGTGCTTGGGGGTGCTAAGCAGTGGCGTATCAACCCAGCTCCAGGCCTGTGTGCCAAAATCTCCGTGGGCCCATTACAGGTCCTAACCCAATCCAATCTAACCAAAAAGTTGTTCAATAAACACTCCTAAAATTTTTTTTTAGGTACAAGTATTTAAACGTTAAATTGTGAATTCACCATTTTCGAAAGTGGTAAAAATAACTATGTATAGTATTTTTAATCCAACTTAAAACACTTGAAAAACATCTAGTTGCCATACATCAAACAAATAAAAAATATGCGCGTCACATAATTTTCATTTCTTTGAATGGTGATGATCAGAGTCCCGGAAAAAAGGTCGAAAACATAAGGTCGAAATACAAATGGTCGAAAATACAAAAGATCCAATGAGAAAAGGTCGAATAACAAAATGTCGAATAACAAAAAGTCGAATAACAAAAGGTCGAATAACAAAGGTCGAAAATACAAAAGGTCGAAAATACAAAAGATTGAAAATACAAAATGTCGAAAATACAAAATGTCGAAAATACAAAAATTCGAAATATAAAATGTCGAAAATACAAAATATCGAAATACAAAAGTACGAATTTTAAAAGGTAGAAATTGTAAAAGGTAGAAAATATAAGTTGTCAAGATTATAAAAAGTCGAAAATACAATATAATTTGTCTTTCTACGTTCTTTTCTACATACTAACGCCTTGACTAACGCTGACTTACCAAAACTAAACCAAACTAACCTATAACCTTGCCTATCCAACGCTATAATGCACAAATCGAACTAACGCAAACTAACCCAAACTATAACCTAATAAACTTACCTCCCCCAACACGATATTTTGTATTTTCGACTTTTTGTTCTCGACTTTTTGTTATTCGACCTTTTGTTATTCAACCTTTTCTCATTTGATCTTTTATATTTTCGTCTTTTGTATTTTCGACCTTTTTTATTTTCGACATTCTGTTTTTCCGACCTTTCGTATTTGCGACTTTTTGTTTTTCGACCTTTTGTATTTTTGACTATTTGCTATTCGAGCTTTTGTAATTCGACCTAGTGTATCTTCGACCTTCTGGTATTCGATCTTTTGTTATTCGACCTTTTTTATTTTCGACCTTTTTTTATTCGATCTTATATATTTTCGAACTTTATTTATTCGACATTTTGTATTTTCGATCTTTTGTATTTTCGACATTTTGCTATTCGATCTTTTGTGACAATTCGACATTTTGTAATTCGACCTTTTTTCCGTACCCCTGATAATCAATATCAAACAACACAACTGAAATAATACGTGGAATAAAATAGCAAATACTATACACCCCTGGCAAGTAAACATCTTGCATGCTAATTTCAATGCGATAGAATGAAATGTCTAGGGAAAGTCTAAGGTTGAATAGAGAACGAAAACGATTTCCCCTATTTCACCTCTAGCATTCCCAGCGCTTTTTGCTGGAGATGGAACAGGGGAAATCTTTTTCGTTCTCTATTTAACCTTAGACTTTTTCTAAACATTTTATTCTATCGCATTAAAATTGGCATGTGAGATGTTTACTTGCCAGACGTGTATAAATTGGGATGACACTGGTAGTCTAGTCACAGAACAACCTACATCGTTTCCAGAAAGACGTAAGTAGCCCACCCCAATATTTGAACCTGTAGGCGCGTGCTGACTTAAATTATTAATTTGAGCTACTGTGGCGATATTTCTTCGCTGCTTATATTTTGTACATTCAGGGAAACTTACAATAGATTTTCTATGAAATTAATAAAAGAAGAGCGACGTGATGTTGAAACATCCTTGTATAATGTATAATGCAGTGTTTCAAATCAGAATTAAATTACTATACCGCTGCGCTGCCGGTATTTTTTTTGCGCGTAGATAGACTATTGTCCATATATTAATCATTATTATACCAGCAAAAAAATAAAAACACAATTAATAAGTTTAGGTCTAATATCTTCTAAAACATTTCTTTGCAGTTTCGCTGTGGAGCTCACGGTCCCCTTTCGGGGCCGGGCCTGTGTGCTTCGCACACATGGCACACCGGTAGATACGCCACTGGTGCTAAGCACCCCTAAAGCAAAAATTAGCACTCCCATTCGGTATCCCACCATAGTACTACCTACAGTGGCACTACCTAAAACTAATATAAAAAATCAGTGCAACCAAATTATTTATTTTTTTTGTAAGGGAGAGTTCGGGAATGGTGCGCACCCAAGCGGAAATTGCATTTTTGTCGAAACTAAGATATATAAATTAATTTCAAGAACACTATGCGATGCAGAATTTATTCTACTTTCATTATGTGAAATGATATTACCATAAATAATTGATACACAGGCATGACATTTGAAAAAGTAAAAAAATGCATTTGCGCACAATTACCCACCCAGGCGGGCAATGATGCGCACGGGTTAGGTAATGGTGCGCATTAAATCCATGTTATAGAAACATATTTGTTGCTCAAAACTGACATGGAAACTAGTGACAATCAAAATATATTCGAGATTAAGATGAGCAGAAGTCACATCTGAAATTTTTCGGGCTGTCCACTCCTGTATGTTGTGTATTGAAACACACTTACTGAGCTTTAATTCACTTTATTAGCCAACACAAAATGATTATAATTTTTGTCACTGACCGACTGCTATTAACATATATGACAATGACAATCTATAACAATTAAAATAGGTATTTTTATAAACTGGTAAAACACAACATTTCTCCCCGCGTAAGACAAAGACTCAAAGGTTCAATCTTACTGGAGGCTTAACAATTCTACCAGAACGTGTATGCACCGCAGAGGAAGCTAAAATAGAGCGTCTGGTACTCTGACCTTCTTGTGGCTCAATTGCAACTTCCCTAACACGAGGCGGTTCATTTACATAGGGATTTTGAATCTGGTCATCGGATTCTGATGTAGGCACAGATTGTGTAACAAGTTCACATATTGGTGGTCTGATGATTTCACAAGGTATTTCAGATTCCACCGAAGCGGCACTGATATTAGGTACCTGTTGCTTCTCAGATTCCTCCAAAATTGATTCACCAGCATCCGAGCGACACTTTTGGGAGCACTCTCCCCCATCACGTAAATCGCCTGAATGTACAAACTTAATATTGTTTTCACATTTGACCAAATATGTACAGTAACTAAGGACTTTCATTACTATGCCCTTTTGCCATAACTTCGTCTGTTTGTTCTTAATAAAAACCTGATCGTTGACTTTGTAAAGCGTACGCTTATCTATATTTGATGTTCTTTGATTGTTATGACAAGATGGCTTTAGCAATTCAAATCTTGTTCTTGGTTTATTTCTAAATATTCCTTCAGCAGGTGAAATGCCTGTTACAGTAGAGGGCGTGTTCCGGTATGTAAACAAGAAGTTTTGCAACTTATTTAAAATTAAATTTCTTGAAACATCTTCCCCTTTTTGAGAAAATAATGCTTTCTCTAATCCTTTCTTTACAGTCTGGACACTACGCTCTGCTGCACCATTACTCTGTGGGTGATAAGGAGGTGACTTGATGGGTTTAATTGCATTTGCCTGGCAAAATGCCACAAATTCGCTAGAATTATATGGCGGCCCATTATCGGATACAAGTTCCACTGGGAGGCCAAAGACTGCAAATATGTCTTTTAATTTTGAAATTGTTTCTAACGCATTTGTGCCATTATTCATTAGCTTGACTTCGATCCATTTTGATCTTTGATCTATTAGAATTAAAAAAACATACTTATGTTTAACAAAAAAATCAATGTACACTCTGTAAAAATTTCGAGGTGCAGATGACCATGGCATTAAGGCGGTATTAGAATTTGTGAAATTTTGGCATTGTTGGCATATATCACAACAAGATATAAATTTTTCTACATCTAAACTTATATTAGGCCACCAGCAAAAGGAACGAAGTAACATTTTTGTTCTCACAATGCCATTATGCTGTTCATGAAATAATTCTAGAACATCTTTTTGTAAAGTCTTGGGTACAATTACTTTATTCCCCCACATTATACAATGATGTTCTATAGACAGTTCATTACGCTTTTTAAAGTAAGGCTTTAAATTTTCGTCTGATACAAAATCAGGCCATCCTGATAGAATAAAATCCTTTACTTTAAGAAGCAACAAGTCTTTAGCTACTTCGTTGGCAATATCGCAACAGTTTAATGGCATCTGATTCACCAAGTTAAAAGAATACAGAAAATCGGGAACTTCGGTTCCTTTATTGCAAGGCAGACGGGACAAACCATCTGCATTGGAAATAGAAGTACCTTTTTTATATTTAATGTCATATTCATACCCTGATAGCGTGACAGCCCAACGGGTGACTCTGGCAGCGGCTGATGTCGGAATGCCCTTATTACGTCCAAAAATAAATTGTAGTGGTTGATGATCAGTAACCAGAATAAACTTACGACCATAAAGTTATTTGTGCAATTTTTTCAAAGCAAAAAT